TAGCTTTCAGACTGGAGTGGTGACCATTCTAGAGGACCCGGGTTTGAATCCCAGCACCCACAGGGCCACTAACAACTGCCAGTTCCAAGGGATCCAACACCCTCTTCTGGCCTCCGTGGGCATTGCATGACACAGGTTCACTTAAATATATGTATGCAAAACACTCATACACATAAAATAAGTAAATTAACGTAAAAGTCAAGTTTAAGGATGTATTTGAAGGTGGGTACATCGTTGCTCCCTGAGTACCTGGAAAGTGACAGGAAAATCTGGTCCTGGAGACTTGTTACTAAAGCATCAAGTGAGAAAGGGTGACCAGGACTTCACACTCCGTGCTTCTCTGTGTGCACCCCCACCTCCCGCCCTGCGCCCCCTCACACAGTACGTTTTCTGAATGAGGATGCTGAAGTGGGTGAAAGGCAAAGGAAGCTAAATTTTAGGGTACTAAAGTTCAGATCTGGGCTTCAACAGTGTCATTGACCTGACCCTCAAACTCTACTGAAGATTTCACAGATATAAGTCATTACAAAAAATAATGATTTCTGAAGCCTTTCATTGTAGAGAGGGACATCAGCTCTGGAAAATTTTTTTAAAAAAATACTGGAAAAACTGGGAGAAAATATTTCTAAAGTTTGTTGATTTCCAAAGTGTGTGAATTTTACAGTTTTTACAACTTTGGTTGGAAGAAAACGAAGTCACTGAACATTAAATTATAACTTTAACTTTCTTCCTTTTTTTTTTGTTTTTTTAAGACAGGGTCTCTGAGTAGCCCAGCTGGCCTGGAACTCACTATGTAGACCACCCTGGCCTTGAACTCACAGAGATCTGTCTGCCTCTATCTCCTGAGTGCTGGGATTAATGGTGTGTGCCACACCCAGCCCACAAATTAAATTATACCATTAAGTCTCCAATAAATCAGTTTTAGAAACAAATTTTTGCCCAAACAAATCATCTTGACTTTTTGGAAACATTGAATGTTTACATGCCAGCAATACCTGCTGGCTGTAATTAGGCTCTCTAGACCTGTGTTGGAAGTCACTGGTTTCCTATGTGTGCCCTCCACAGGTAGCATTTTAAAACATGAGAGGAGATGCAACATTGAGTGGGAAGTGCACTCTTCAATGTCCACAAATAATTTGCTAAAGGCTTTCTATATTTGCTTATGAACATAATTCAAAGTGTGCTATATTTCGTTAATTACTTGCTCTACACACACCAAAAGCTAAATAATAATAATTAATAATAATAAAGCATTAGGTAGGTGTTTGTATTTCAGCAGAACACAAGCCCTTTGTAGCGTCTACATTTCCTGGGAATATACACTTAAAAAGTCAGCAGCTTTAAAGAGGGGAAGGAAGGGCAGGTTACGGCCTCTCTCAGCTCTCTACACAGTCACTGTCAGGAGCTGACTGTGGAGGGAGCGATTTCTCTTTAAAATGGAGACGAGTTTCTTTTAGGAAGGAAACTCCTGAGGAAGTTGTTTTAAAACAAATAAATGTTCAGGATGAAGCCAGCAAAGGGTGAGAGAGGCGCTCTTTGATTTCCCAATTTGTGTATTTGGGCTCAGACAACATTTTATGCGCATATTAATCAAATGCTAATCGGCCTCCTTCAAGGCAGCGGCATTTGACACCAAGTATTGTCAACAGAAAGGTCTGGGTGTACTTTTAATCCCATCAAGGTGTGGGTGGGGTGCTGGGGGAGGTGGAGGATCCTGGTGCCAGGGAACTGGTTTCTGAACTGACTCTCTGGAGCAGAGTTTTGCAGGATTATTCCACATCAATGGGTTTTCAGAAAGGTGTAAACGTGGCCTTCAAAGCCTCAGGTAACTGTATTTACTTATCCCCCCTCCTCATGGGGGTTTATAAACTTGAGTGTGCCACTGAGTCGCCCTGGAGTTGGAGGGGCCACCCCGGGGATCCAGCAGCTGCCCTGGGTCACACTGAAGGAATCCACTGGATCAGCCTAAACTGACCTCTAGGCTATTCAGAACTTTCATTGTTTCTGAATGGGGGTGGTAGACTGAAGCTGTTCCTACTCACGGGATGAGGAAGCAGTGTTCTCTTGTGTGTGTGTACATTTGTGTGCATGTATGTGTGTGTGCATATGGGTGTACATGTATGTATGCCTGTGTGTAGGTTTGTATCTCTGTGTAAGCATGTGCATGTGTGTATATATGTGTGTGTTTTGAGGTGTATGTAGGTAAAGGTAGGTGTGTGCATGTATGTGCATGCATGAGTGTATTTATGTATATGTGTATGCGTGTTTGGGTGTGTTCATGTGTATGAATGGGTGTATGCACATGTATATGTGTATGTGTACGTGTGTGTGCAAATATGTATATGTGTATAAGTGTGTATGCATGTTTGTGTCCATACAGACACACTATTTAGACACAAATTACACCCTTGGCCACCCTGAGCCTGGGGTGATGTTCCTGGAGGTTTTAGCTCGCATCTCCCCGAGGACTGAAGGTGGGCACGTCTTTACGAACCCTCAGCCATTAAAGCGCTGCCCATTTTTACATCAGATTGTTTTTTGCTATTGAGTATTTGCATTCCTCCTATAGTTAGGAAATTAGTGCCCGACAGGAGTTAGGTCCACGAGCCTCTCCTCTTTGCTGCCTTGTCCTACTCACCGGATGAGGAAGCAGTGTTCTCTTCTGTGTGTGCATGTATGTGCATTGTGTATGCTTAGGTGTGCAGGTGTTTGTGTACACATGTACATGTGTATACATGTATGTATACATGGGGGTGGGTGTGCATATGCACGTGTATATGTGTGTTGGGTGTGTATGTATGTATAGGTAGGTGTGTGTATGCATGCTCCTGTTTTGCTGCAGTTACACTGTCTATTTTCTTTCATTGCCTTTGAAAAACTATGCAAAGCTCAGGGACCAGAACAGTGCCACAGACTCCACAGGTTCAGGTCTGCCCGTTTGGATTAGTTTCTGCATGCAGTGTGAGGTGGATAGGGTCCAGTTTCATCTTCTAGCAGCATCCCTTCCTCCAAATGTGTTGTTGGCATCTTTGTTTAAAATCAGTTTACCATGGGCTGATTTCTGAGCTTTCTAGCCTGCTGCATTTGTGAACGTGCTGTTTTATGCCAGTGCCATGTTGTTTTGATGACCATCACTCTATCATATATTTTGAGATAGAGGGCTGCGTTGGCTTTAGCTTTGTCCCTTTTTAATTCTTTATGTGTATGAGTATTTTGCCTGCATGCATGTAAGTGCACCTGTGTCATGCAGTGCCCTCAGAGGCCAGAAGAGGGTGATGGATCCCCTAGAACTGGAGTTAGGGATGACTGTTAGCTACCATGTGGGTGCTGGGAACAAAACCCAGGTCCTCTGGATGAGCAGCCAATGCTCTTTACCACTGAGCCATCTCTCTAGTCCCTCCTTTAAAAAAATAAAATAAAATAAAATAAAACAGGGCCTCATGAACTCCTGATTCTCCTGCCTCCAGCTCTGACCACTGGCACACACCACCACGCCCAGGGCCTCATGCTTGCTTGGCCAGCACTCCGGTGGAGCTGGATCCCCAGTAGCTTGTCCTTTACATTGGGGTCGTGTTGGCTATTTGGAATCTTTTCTGGTTCCATACAGCTTTTAGAATTTTTTTTTTTTCAATTTCTGTGAAAAATGACACTGGGATTTGGTAGGGCCTGCACTGAATCCGTAGGTCATTGCAGGGAGTGGACCTATTTGTGGTGCTGATTCTACCTATCAGCACTCTTGGAGAGACATGTGGCTGGTAGCTTTGCAGTCCCCTCACCTGTTCACTGGCTTGAAAGGCCAGTAGCTACCTCCTGTGCAGTAGGTCTCCAGGGCTTTTAAGAAAGTTTCTAAGCAAAACAGATAGGGTTCCAGGTGTCAGGGCCCAGGGTGCAGGGCACAGGTGGCAAGAAGCAGTGACACACCACACAGCTCTGGAGTGGAGTGTGAGGCTGTACTGGGGATGGTGTGGGGGGTCAGGTAGAATTCCCTCAGTGTAAGCACACCAGGCAAGTCAGCACATAATCCAGTAGAGCATGTGTTAGTGTCTAAGGCACAAAGTGGCACATACAGTGTTGTCTGAGCATCAGAAAGGTATCCTGAGGTTCTGCAGGCCAGGAGTCTGTGGTCAAGGTGTGGCCGGGCCAGCCTTCCTAGCTGGCTTCTAACCCAGGCTCCTCCTCACCCTTCCCACTTCTGGATAATGTGTGTCCTTGACCTTCCTAGAAGAGCTTTGGTGAGCTTCTTACCAGTCACTGCCTAGTCTCCTTGGAGCCTCCGCTGTGTGTCCACAACTCCCTCTTTGCATAGAGGCACCAAGCCACACCACCAAGGGATTGCTCATCAGAACTAATAACATCCGCAAAGACCATGTTCCCTGGAAGGCTGCTGCCTGGGGTCTGGGGTTAGAACTGCAGCACTCCTGATCAGAGACGACGCAGTTCCCTAAGCTCCCAGCCACCCCAGAGTGCTTACTCACAACCCACTTGAAGAATCTTCCAGTCCTTCAAGGAACCAGCTTGTCTTTCTCTCCCTGAGCTCAGCATATGGATTCCAAACATCTTTTGTTAGGTTTTATAGTTAAGAATTTCATTTTATAAATTGTAGATAGGAATATTTTTATTCCTTTTCAGTCTACATGGCT